TTTTTGAGAGGTTTTTGCTATAGGGTGCATGCGCTTGCCAGACAGACAGAGAGAGACAGAGAGACAGAAAGCGAGAAATCACCCCCCAGGGGGATGGCCACACCGGAATCCCTTCTCCATTCTCATCTCAGGATCTTGGGCATGCACACACACACGCCCGGCGTGAGTTTTTTAAGCCACCGGGTCCGGGACTCAAACCGCGGTCAACTACATGGGAGTCCAGCAACATAGCCATTACGCTAACTGCTGGTCCCCTCATATCACATATTTCTCATATTTTTTTCCCAAATTGATAAGAAAGCATCTATCTACTAATAATGTCCACCCAGTTAGATATTCAATAATACTCACATAGAAAAAACAAGAAGAGAAGCATCATCTATAGACATACCTTACTGTATTAGATAAAGCAATTTGTTGACTACTGGGAGTGACGCTTCCTAAAACCTTTGGAAATGTTATTAACTGGGCAGTTAGCAGAATGAGATGGGGGCGAGAACAGGAAATGATTTTGTATGCAATGAAAATCAGAGATGATACGATACCAACACTATTTTTTATATTAGTGCTTATAAATTTGACCTTGGTCCATATATATATAATTACCCTTTTGATAGAGAACATGTACCAGAAGACTTCAAAAAGTTCAGAGAAAATGGGATCCAATTTTTGGTTTATTTTGGTGCAAAAAAAAAAAAAATTGTGAAACTATATGCATCTTTTTTTTTTTTTTAACTTTATTTATTTATTTATTTTTAGTTTGATCAGAGAGGGACAGAGAGAGAGAAGGTGAGAAAGCAAACCACCAGGTCCAGGACTTGAACCACGGTCGGCCATGTGGGAGTCCAGCGCCCTTAACCACCACACCACCTGCCAGCCCCAACGCATCATTTTTTTATAATATTATTTTCCACCAACTCTTTCAAGTGCCCTCTCATTCCAAATATGTGCATATAATGTTCACTGTCCCTCATTGAGAGCGTGACTGACCCATTTCTGTGGACATTGGACTTGAGCCCTGAGCACCAAAAGAGGACAAACGAGGTAGTAGTTAGAGGAACTTTTGCTTTCAGTGTCCATGCTGTCCAGAAGCTAGCTGCGTGACCGCTCGGAAATTTCCAGGAAAATGACAAGGCCAAACCTTGGGAAAATACTTGCAGTTTTTTTCACTCCCCCCTCCCTGGCTAGGCTGGCTGTTGTCAGTGTTGATTTCACAGACGCAGTTCACATGCCGTCCTGTGGGGCCTGGATTCACCTGCTGTGTCGGGAAGGTTTACCTGCAAACTGAGAGGAGGGCAGAAAGAAGCTTCTGCACCTGCATCAGGTCAGACCCCAGTCCTGCTCGTCCTGTGCTTACAAGTGCAGAGTTGTGCACTGTGTGTGGATTTGGAAATGTTCATTTCAGTGGTGCCTCCGGGGAGCTCAGGCAAGTCCCCTGATGGGGAAAAGATCACCTCTGAGGCGTTTCCTTCTCCTTTCACTGGCTGGTAATCTAGTGCTGTGGCTGAGGGCATGGGTTAGGTATTAAACCAGCCTAGGTTCAAATCCCAGCTCTACTTTTACTCCTTGCTTGATCCTGAAAAAAGACACTCAACCTCAGGGACCAGCAGTTGGCATAATGGCTATGCTGCTGGACTCCCATGTAGTCGACCGCAGTTTGAGTCCTGCACCCGGTGGCTTAAACTCACACCAGGAGCATGTGCGTGCATGTCCAAGATCTCGAGAGGAGAATGGAGGAGAAGGGATTGAGGCACGACCATCCCCCCAGGGGAGGGGTGATTTCTCGTTTTCTGTCTCTCTGTCTCTCTGTCTTTCTGGCGAGCACACGCGTCCTATAGTGAAAACTTCTCCAAAAAAGGAAAGAAAAAAAAGACACTTGACCTCTCAAAGCCTCATATCCTTGTCTGTGAAATGGGGGCATAATCTTTCCCTCCCAGGGTCCTTGAAAAATCAAATTAAATCTTATTGTAAAGCCTGGTGCTCTATAAACAGCTGTGCTTTCCTTAGCCCTCATTTTCCAGTTGAGCAGCAGATTATTTGATAAAATAGTGACAGAGGAGGGGGTCCAGAGCACATGTGCCCATCGTATGTGAACCTGCCGCTGTGCACACCTACGTGCCTCCCTTCCAGGCCCAGCTCGACTTTCTTGCCAGGGATTGGCTGACAAAGCATCCTCTCGCTGTTCCCTCCTCACACTTGACAGGTGCAAACGGGAGAATGAGCTATTGCTTTTCCTTTATTAGTAGGTCAGAGAGTATTGCCTGGCGTCCCCAGGATCCAGCCCCTCACCATCCAGTATCCAAGAAGGTCATCCTTCCCTACTGTGACATTTCCTGGTCACTGGAAGACCAGAGGACAGACCCTTGGTCTACATGTGTTTTGCCAGCAAACACTTATTTCAGCCACAAACTGTCCCTTCCTCCTAAAGACTCAGACAGAACCCCTCACAAGGGGTTGCATTGACCAGTCAGTGGTCAGTGTCAGTCCTGGGGTCCCGTCTCCTCTGTGGGGCGGCATCAGTCACCCTGAAGTTCTCGGGTCAGTGAGTTCCAAGGTTTTAGAAGTCAGCGCGTGTCCGCAGATCAGCAGGGCCTGGCTACCATCACCCAGAGCCCCGGGTTCTTGGATCCAGAGAAACCCCAAATGTGTTCATAGGCACCTGCTGCTACCGCTGCTGCTGCTGCTCCTGCCCGCAGCCCCCTTCTTTCCACCTGGGTGCCCCTGCGCTTCGGAGCCCGAGGTCCCGCTAGTGGCCAGGTCTAGACTGAGGGTCCTCCCGCAGACGGAGAGGCGCCGCAGAACCTCGGAGGCGGCCTCCACCGGCACGCCCGCGCGCCCCTCCAGCAGCATCTCCAGCAGCGAGCTCATCTCTGAGACGAAGGTGCTGGCCAGCTGCGTGCCTGCCGGGCTCAGCTCCGGCCCTGCCACTTTTCCAAACGTCTGGAAGGTCTTTGGCTCCTCTGAGGCCGTAGCATCCGGGGAGAATACGTTGTCTCGGTAGTTGGTGGTGAGGGGCAAAGACAGCCTCGCCATCCAGACCGTTGCAGCGCCAGGCCTGCCGGGGGGGAAAAAGGGGACACTGAGCGTCAGGCCCACGGAAGGGCCAGGCAGGTGGGGCTGTGGGCAAGGCAAGGGCAGAGCACAAAGGAGGGAAGGGAAACGGGGGCGG